AAATCACATTAATAGTGGGACATATGAGTCCGTCATAACATAAATGAAATAACGTGAACACAACTGATGAGAAAGTGGAGAAAAATGTAAAAAATACAAAATGAAGTGCTTAATATTAAAAATGGACAAACCATTTTTAATATTAAACCACAGTGAGGTCAAAAAATGTGACCATGCGACTAAAGAGTCATAACACAATCTGCATCAAAAGGCCATGTGACATAAAACGACTAATAAGTGACCATATAAATACCATAAATAAAAAATGGTAAGCATATATAGAGTCCAGCTAATATAAAACAGAAAAATAGTGATACAAACGCATAGTGAAATCAAATGAATGTATTACTGTGCTCCGTAAAATACAATAACACAATGATGAAATAAATAACGTGACTAAAAAAATCATAAATACGACATAAAAAATGTCCATGTGCAAAAACGTTCAACAAAAATGCCCCAAAAAAAAAACAACACAACGTGGATAGGTAAATGATTGTTGAATCCCACACCGGCTAAATTGCCTGCTCACCTCCGTGCCCAGACCCCAAGGGGCCAAAAGGCTTTCAGGACACTCACTGCAAGCCCTGTAAGTGGAATCCCAAACGGCAATGATTTCTTCATTGTGTTATTGTATTTTTACGGTGCCCAATAATACATTCATTTGGTTTCACTGAATACCTTTTTGAGGAGGCTACTATTTCTGAAAAACAAAGTGGACATATTTAACATTAAATAGTTAAATTAGAGTGTATATTTGTGAAAATACAGCATAAATATTTTTCAGACCGTAACAATTCTTATCCTTACTAATGGAAGCCAATTTGGAGTCATACAGTTGGCTTATTTCAGGCTAAAATTCTAAAGAAAGCTATATTAAATGCACAACAATACCAGAAATTGCAGAAATTTGTAGAACATAATCTAATCCTTTCTGAAATGCGGCACATATGGTGGCAGAGAGTCAGTTATTTTTGCCAATAAATAAAACATGTATTTTTTAGGATGCACAATATTGTATAACTCTTTCTCAGATTTGATGCAATGCTTCTTTTTAAGAGAAGGTGATGCAGGGAGATGTTTTATTTCAGCCAGCAATAATCAATTAGACTGTTATTTTTGCTGATACATAATCTAGAATGCATTCCAACTTTATGTACAGAACATAAATAGTGCTCTTCAGAAGCAATTTGAGAGGGAGTGAGCAGGAGGGTTTCAACTATAAATCCAAACATTACAAATAATTCTCTCACAATAAAAAAAAAATTTCAAAATACATTTTGTAGGCCAGGAGGTAAAGAGCGAAAATTGGTCTTATATTGGTAGAATTACTGTTATGCCATACCACTGTCAGGGCATGTTTGAATGATTAGTTTAGTCAGCTATATCGATTGTTTAATCAATCAATGAACAGCAGTATTTCCAATACGAAAATAATATATTAAAAATAATTAAGATGATTATTAAAAACAATTAAAATGACTAATTATTTATTCCTGAGATACTTTTGCCCAATGCAGAAATTCTTTGAGTAACACAACAAAATTGGTTGTAAGTATGGACTGAGGACTATTAAAATGAATAAAATTTATCTACAATAAGTCACTTTACATTCACTACTAACAGTCGCATTAAGAGGTTGACAGAGACACTGAAATTATCTTCACAATTAATTACTTAGGGAGTATATATATTGGATTAAATTAAAAAAGGGAATTCCCCTAGTAGACAGCATAACCATTTATAACTAAACCTGGGAGACAATACTCTGTGCTTTATGGATTGCAACTGTTATACTTCTGCAGAAAGAATGTTGAAAAATGCAAAAGTGTGCACCAATACAGCCAAAAAAAAGAGGAAGAAAACATTTTTTTAAATGATCTAACTCTAGAGGCTATGCTGTTGTGAGAGAAATATTAAATTACAGCAAGGATTACTGCAATTAGTCTAAGCAAGCAAAAATCACCAATCACACTTTAGTTACCCTCCAAAAGCAGATGTAGGGGATCACAGGGTAAAATAGGAAAGCACTGAAATGACTACTGAGCAGACCCTCAAAGATGGCTGCTGATCAATGGGTGGAGTAGTCTTCCCAGAATGGTGTCTATCTATGCTGGAGATGTGAGTCCTGGTTTCAGTGAAGTGTGTGTCAGATGATGAGTGTCTGATGACGTGTCCCCTCAGATGATGAGTGTGTTTCTAGATGATCAGTCTCTGGATCTTCAGTGAATGCCCCCCTCTTTCTCCCTCAATGCTATATATGAATTGCATAAATAATACAACCCTTGGATCCCTGCCCAGCGGGTGTATTTGGTATTATTTACTTATTTCTCGTTGGTGGATCATGTTACTCACCAACTATGTGCATGTACAAGCATTAGCCCACTTTTGCCATCTTTATAGTAACTAATATTTTATATAAAGATTGAATATTTACATAAAAAGCCTGTTAATTTGTGGTATTTAATCTTTTGGATGTAGTAGCATTTAAATGGAGAGGTGTAATTCCATAATTAAATATTAATATACATGAAATAGTGTTCACACTGTAAACTACTACTTGGTTATGGCTGCATTATCACACATATTTGGAACAATATTGATAATGATGAACACAACAAACCAAAAATATAATGGGATTATAGCTTCCTTTTCTAGTCCTTTTTCAGAAAATATGATACTTTGTCCTGGATATATTCAGTACATATGAATTAACAAGTTCTCACAGAATCCTCCAGCTTTTAGTACAATCACCAACTATGTACGCAGAAACTTGGTGCATAGCTCCATATACATTGTCTCTTCAGTTTGTTGATCTTTCTCCTTGTCCAGAACAATGCAATCTCAGATGGATTATAGGACTTGTGTACAATTAATTTCACTTGTTTGGGGAGTCAATTTTTCCACTGTTGAGGTTTTGCAAACACCTTATAGTTTTAGTTAATAAGATGTCTTTCTCTTCTCTGAGTCCAAGTGTTATCTTGTTTACTTGTCAACACACTCAGTGTATTGCAGTTTAAACAACCTTTTAGACTCTTAACAATTCTTAGAGTGTCATAGCTGCCTTAGATAGAGGGAAAAATTATCCAAGAGTTCAGCCTGAGTAAATTCAGCATAATTCATTAAAAAGGTTCATTATATACCGTATTTTTCACTCCATAAGACGTACCTAGGTTTTAGAGGCGGAAAACAAGAGAAAAAATATTCTGAACCAATGAACTGCAGACATAGTACAGGAGATGACCAGAGATTGCAGACATAGTACAGGAGATGACCAGAGACTGCAGACATAGTACAGGAGATGACCAGAGACTGCAGACATAGTACAGGAGATGACCAGAGACTGCAGACATAGTACAGGAGATGACCAGAGACTGCGGACACAGTACAGGAGATGACCAGAGACTGCGGACACAGTACAGGAGATGACCAGAGACTGCGGACAGTACAGGAGATGACCAGAGACTGCGGACACAGTACAGGAGATGACCAGAGACTGCAGACATAGTACAGGAGATGACCAGAGACTGCAGACATAGTACAAGAGATGGCCAGAGACTACAGACACAGTACAGGAGATGACCAGAGACTGCAGACATACTACAAGAGATGGCCAGAGACTACAGACACAGTACAGGAGATGACCGGAGACTGCGGAAACAGTACAGGAGATGACCAGAGACTGCGGACAGTACAGGAGATGACCAGAGACTGCGGACAGTACAGGAGATGACCAGAGACTGCGGACAGTACCGGAGATGACCAGAGACTGCGGACACAGTACAGGAGATGACCGGAGACTGCGGACAGTACAGGAGATGACCGGAGACTGCGGACACAGTACAGGGGATGACCAGAGATTGCAGACATAGTACAGGAGATGACCAGAGACTGCAGACATAGTACAGGAGATGACCAGAGACTGCAGACATAGTACAGGAGATGACCAGAGAGTGCAGACACAGTACAGGAGATGACCAGAGACTGCGGACAGTACAGGAGATGACCGGAGACTGCGGACACAGTACAGGGGATGACCAGAGATTGCAGACATAGTACAGGAGATTACCGGAATCTGCGGACAGTACAGGAGATGACCAGAGACTGCGGACAGTACAGGAGATGACCAGAGACTGCGGACATAGTACAGGAGATGACTAGAGACTGCAGACATAGTACAGGAGATGACCAGAGACTGCAGACATAGTACAGGAGATGACCAGAGACTGCGGACAGTACAGGAGATGACCAGAGACTGCGGACAGTACAGGAGATGACAAGAGACTGCGGACACAGTACAGGAGATGACCAGAGACTGCGGACAGTACAGGAGATGACCAGAGACTGCGGACAGTACAGGAGATGACCAGAGACTGCGGACATAGTACAGGAGATGACTAGAGACTGCAGACATAGTACAGGAGATGACCAGAGACTGCAGACATAGTACAAGAGATGGCCAGAGACTACAGACACAGTACAGGAGATGACCGGAGACTGTGGACACAGTACAGGAGATGACCAGAGACTGCGGACACAGTACAGGAGATGACCAGAGACTGCGGACAGTACAGGAGATGACCAGAGACTGCGGACAGTACAGGAGATGACCAGAGACTGCGGACACAGTACAGGAGATGACCAGAGACTGCGGACAGTACAGGAGATGACCAGAGACTGCGGACAGTACAGGAGATGACCGGAGACTGCGGACACAGTACAGGGGATGACCAGAGACTGCAGACAGTACAGGAGATGACCAGAGACTGCGGACACAGTACAGGAGATGACCAGAGACTGCGGACAGTACAGGAGATGACCAGAGACTGCGGACAGTACAGGGGATGACCAGAGACTGCGGACAGTATAGGGGATTAACAAGAGACTGCGGACAGTATAGGGGATGACCAAGAGATTGCGGATAGTATAGGGGATGACCAGAGACTGCGGACAGTACAGGGGATGACCAGAGACTGCGGACAGTACAGGAGATGATCAGAGACTGCGGACAGTACAGGGGATGACCAAGAGACTGTGGACACAGTACAGGGGATGACCAAGAGACTGCAGACAGTGCAGGACATGACCAGAGACTGCAGACAGTGCAGGGGATGACCAGAGACTGCGGACAGTACAGGAGATGACCAGAGACTGCGGACACAGTACAGGAGATGACCAGAGACTGCGGACAGTATAGGGGATGAACAAGAGACTGCGGACAGTACAGGGCATGACCAAGAGACTGCGGACAGTACAGGGGATGACCAAGAGACTGCGGACAGTGCAGGACATGACCAGAGACTGCAGACAGTGCAGGGGATGACCAGAGACTATGGACAGTGCAGGGGATGACCAGAGACTGCAGACAGTACAGGAGATGACCAGAGACTGCAGCACAGTACAGGAGATGACTAAGAGACTGAGGACCTTTGCGGAGGGAGGGGGATTGGGTACCTGAATTTGAGAGGTACCCGCTCCCACTTCCGCGGAGTTGTCCTCCCTTTAGTGTGGGCTCTTTAGTGTGGGCTCTCGGTTGTGACAGCCGGGTGCCCAGTGCGCATGCACGAGAAGCGTTGCGCTTTGCGATTGGCCCGGCGTCTTCTGGGACCTGTCATATGTCCCAGAAGATGCCGGACCATTCAAAAAGTACAGCGCTTCTCGCGCATGCTCACTGGGCACCCGGCTGTCACAACCAAGAGCCCACACTAAAGAAGCCGGTGTGGGAAGACTGCGCAGCTCTGGACTGAGGAACAGATAAGGTTCTGCTGCAGAGAAGAGATGAGCAGCCGGCCCGGTATTCTGACACGGCGGCGGTGGAAATACCGGACCGGCCGCTCCATATTCACTCCATATTCGCTCCATAAGACGCACTGACATTTTCCCCTTTTATGGGGGGAAAAAAGTGTGCCTTATGGAGCGAAAAATACGGTACTTATCCTATATACATTTTTTCTTACACGCTCTGGCATTACTTAAAAAAATGTGTATTCCAAATGTTACAACTGAAGAGCATGAGGAAACGTAGTGTTTTGTCCATTTTTGATGATATGAACTGCAATTCAACCAAATAATTATTAGCCAAGGCAGTATTTACCCAGTCCAACAAATGGAACAATTTCTATATCCATAAAAGAAGCTTCACTGTATCTGCAATTATTACTTGAAAAAATTGGGTTTTGGGTGCTGTTGGTAAATGTGCTCTGCAGAAAAATTTCTGCACATCACAGGTTGGACCTACTTTAACAAACATTTACTGTATCTGCAGTTGCAAACAAATTGGGTTTTGGGTGTTAATGTGCCCAAACACTATAAACCCCCCGATAAAATCCCTTTGTGCACATCCTTTTAAAAAGAATTCATAGCACATGCAACTGTGAAATAGTTGCTAAAAATGTGGGGTGTTACATTAAAATTGAAGTTGCAAAGGAAAGGAATTATGGTGCCATTTGTGGGGGGGCCAACACCAGTGTCAGTAGATATTCACAGTGTCAGGTAGAGGGATTTGCAATAGAGACATGGCAATGAAGATGGCATTTGAGATATTTTCTGAGGCCTGCGGTTTTGAAATATGAAGCTTGGGATGCAGCAAAAAAAAAAAGGGAGGGGGTGGAAGGGTTCTCAAAATATTTGATCAGCAACAGCTGCAGCAGGGGCTTGGTATTTCTTGCTGATCCAAAACTAGTTAATTTTTACAAGCATCAACCATATCTTTGGACAGATGCACATTCTCTGATCATGTTAGCTGCAGAGCATATTGGGAATGCTCTGGCCAGTGGTCCATACTCCTGTCCCAGCAGTCAAGAGGGTTATCCATCCAGGGGTCTCTACATCCACTCTTTCCTCCAAATAATCAGCCACCATGTGATGCAGCCACTGTCAATAGGTGCTGTCAGCAGATGACCCTGGGTGATGAGGACTGAAACATTTTTTAAAGATATTGCTCAGGCTTCTACCATCACTGTTGCTTTTCATTTCACTGAGAGTAGGCTCAGAGACACCTTATCCATGAGATGGTATCATGTTAGCCTCTGGAAATGAGTAGGAGATGAATTGCCAGTTTGTGGAAGTCCAATAAGCAAACCAAGAGCTCCAAAAGGTGGTGACCCAAAGAAGAAGGGCTCCACAGGTCCCCTACTGGTAGAACAGAAAATGGTGGGTGGCAACTATTACCTGCAAAAGTTGACACCTACAGATGATGTGGAAGCCTACCTTACAACTTTAATACAGTTGCTGCTTGGGAAGGATGGGAAAAAGAGCAATGAGCAGGACTGTCAGCACCTTTTCTGACAACTGAACCCCAAAAAGCCTATTATGACCTGGAACCAGACCCTGCCTGGCATTATGAGAACCTGAAGGCCGAAAATCTTGCATTCCTGGACATCACCACTGTGGTCCCGGCTCAACAGGTGCATTGGTGATTGTAACCACTCTGCTCCCAGATGTTTGACTTGATACATCTTGCCAGGAAGTGGCCACAGCTAGAGATCTTGTCGGAACCTAAGATTGTGGAGCGGATGGTCATTGACTGCTATCTTTGAGCACTCCCTGCCACTTGAAGGAAATGGGCCAGCCATGGGGTCCCTAAGCAGACCAGCTAGTGGACCTGGTGTAGAAATATACTGCAGATGAGGACTTAATCAATTCAATAAATCAATAAAAAACGAGGTACCGCAGTTGCCACGTTTTGCCTCTTTTTCACCGTGTTTTGCATATTCCAGTGGTCGGCAGTGAAAATGTTCCTATCCTAAACATGATTCTTTCATATTCAGGAGAGGAAGGTTTAACCTCACCTAAATGTGGTAGCTCTTAAACTCTGCTAAAATCCTATGTGTACATGGACACATAGGCTTTTATGGAGTTGAGTTTAGGAGCTTTGGCAAAAAAAATGCCAAAAGCTCCTAAACTCGAGTTTAGCAGCTGCTCGTGTACATGAAGCCTAACACTGTTGGGGTTATTTGTATACATGGTGACACACATGACTATCAGACTGCTATGGTTGAGACTGATCCTCCCTGGGGGTCTTTGACACATTTGGTTGGTGCAGTACCCTCTCTGCTTCATAAAGCTATAGTGGTGAGAGATGTTCTCCATTTTTAGAGTTTGTGAGAAAATAAAAGGAGTCAGGGAGACATAGCTCCCTCTGCTGGGAAGATATCAAAACTCTCTCCTCACCCTTTTGAGCACCCAGGGGAAGGGGAAACTTTCCTTGTGCCCATGGAAGGGGTAGAGCTTCTTCCTTTCTTTGTAATGGCTGGGGAACAGGAGGAGATTGAATGCAACCCTGAGCTTGAGAATAATGAACAGGAAACTATCTGTGACTCTAATATTGAGAATAGCTAGAATGTGGTACCTGACGCAGAAGTCAGAAAAGATGATTTTTGTATGGAGCAACTGAAATCATTACAATGATAGATGGGGAACCTGTTGAACCTGACTTTGGGGTATGTTTTCCATACATGGCTCTTAAAAATAGGAACGATATAGAAAAAGAGTGGAAGGAAACCCGTATAGACAGTGGTCTCTTACTTGTCAATAAGTGTTACTGGTACTGCGTCTCTTTTTCCCTTCATGGACAATTATACCATTATAATATTTTTATATAATATAAATATCCAGCGCAAAACTAATGTCCACAAATTGTAAATTACACAGTCCCGGGAAACATTCAATTTACAAGTTGCTCTATTCTGCTTATGATCTCACCAGAGGATGAAGTTGATCAAGCTCTATGCACATATATAATATATACCTTCTGCGCTTTAGAAGTGTACAACAATTCAATATAAAATAAATGACGGCAGCTAACACCCACACCTATTACCTTAAAGTGATAATACTAAACAATAAATAAATGGTGTAGCGCTCATATATAGCAATAAATAAATAAATAGTGTAACATACATATATAAAAAAAAAAAATATATATATATATATATATATATATATATATATATACACATATATATAAATAACGCAGTAATTAATGACCTAATCCCAACCAGTTATATATAATGAAAATAAGTAATAACTCAATGGTGCCCTGATCCCATCTGGGATCTAAAAGAAAAAACAGTGAATCACAAAATAGTGATCTTAAAATATACCCAATGTGGTATATTTACACAACAAATGTGCTCACAACTACCCAGATCCTTAATCAGGATCAGTGACTGATCATACAAAAATCAGTGAAAGACAAACAGGTGATCCCAGCACTGGGGGATAAATCATTCAAATAAAGTGAACAGTGCTTAGTGTAACAAACTTAAAAAAAATCACATAAAAATTATAACATATGCCACAATCTCATCCCAAAATTATAAACATCAAAATTATAAGTAAATCACACAGCAAAACTTATGTAAATATATAAATCACAACACTTGAAAAAAGTCCAACATAAATAGTGCATGTAAATCCGGTGTTCCACAAATAATAAACATGCAGATGGTGCTGTGGATGTGCACTACAGCCGCTGGTGATAAATCCAAAAATATCTGAATTGCTTCCTCACCTCCTTACCGTGACCCAATGGGCCAAAAAGCTTTTGGATCACCCCTGGATCCTCCAAGTGCGATTTCTAATGAAGTAATGTGCACCGTGACGCAACGCGTAGGTGACGTGGTGTCGCAATATCTGGCGTGGACGCCATCTTTGTACTCCATACGAACCCATGCAACAATACACCCATAGCATGAGGTTAAAACGCCTGTATCCATCTGATAAAAAGTGAGTGGAAAATTGGCTTGTATTTTGATACTTTTACATATTAAACAATATTACACTATGGAGGCTCTTTCTTCCATGTCTTTATTATGAGTCCTGTGGGAGTTGACTGTATCACTCATACCTAAAGGGGAACTTTGATGTGATGTTATACTGCTATCTGGAAGGATTCCATTAAAAGGGGAAATTGCACTCCCAAAAAAGAAAGCACTCAGTAGTGTGATATTGTTATTATAAATAAAATCAGTGCTCGTGCGTATTATACTCACACTCTGTATGTGAATGTGGTCACCCCAAATATTGTGCCTTCACCTTGTGCACCCCAAGCTCCTCACCCCTCAGATCATGCACCTTACCAAATTCACATTAAACACAGCACGTATATGTTCCAGGAACCGTCGTGTCCAATCTGCACCTTCTAAAACCGCAATCCCTCCATATACTCCAGAACCACGTGGAATCAAACAAAATACACCATAGTGTAATACAATCTAAAATCAAATCTCTTCATTTGCTAAAATAATATTGCAGTGTAAAATAGCATGCCGGCATACAGAACCTTATCCAAGATGGCCACCGCTAGACTTTCAGTTTGCGCATGATGTCACTTACTGATCTGTTTCGTCATTACGACTTCTTTATAGGATGTGCACGCCGGATGAGCGGGCTGACCATTTATAACCTACTTAT